AATACCCCTGAGACTTTTGTGGAGCAAAAAAGGCACAATAGGAACATCAGGCTCCCTGTACAGTTGTAAGAAATTGTGTTTGCTGCTTTCAGCAGGATGTGTGCTATTTCATGCAACGTGTTTGCATTGTATGGGAAATCTTCAAGCAGCACCATAGAATGGTTAAAGGTTAAAGGACTGTGCTTCTCTAGGCCTAAGCCCACCAGTGACTCAGCCAAAGGTTATTCTTGTCTGTGTGCCAGCACTATTAATAGGACTGGTGCTTATCTCTATCCAGAGAATGGCTGAGTCAGCAACAGTGAGGAAGATTGACTGTTAAAGCATCACGTGAAGGAGATCAAGGAAAACTGTGTTTGTGTGTACAAGTGGGGATGTTTAATAAGGTTCAGTTAAAAAGGAAGTTCCACCAATTTTTTAAAATTTTCTGCAGAATTAAATAGATAAGTCATTCAGGATGGTTTGATGTGAAATGCTCCATTCTAGAGAAACTTAAAGAAGTCAGATTCATTCATAGTGGTGGTGATAGGAACCAGACGTCCAGAGCATTTACTGCCTCTTAATATTAAAGTTGTATGCAAAGGTTTGGGCACCTCTTGCCAAATTACATATTTTGTTCATTTTTGAAATGAAAAGAAGTAATTAAATAAACAAAAAATACAAAAAATAGAATAGAAATTCTGGCCAGTGAAAAAGTTTGGACACTTTACTAAGTCAGTATTTTGTAACCAATTTCACAGTCTTTCTATTCTTGTTTTTTCACTTCTTCACGTCTTGCATGCACAGCATGTTTGATGTCTACTCATGGATTTTCAATGATGTTGAAGTATGGGGACTGTGAGAGTACATTTTAGTAATTGTACTGTAATCCATTGAAATTATATTTTTCAGTTGTACTGACTCCCCACACCCTGTCTACTCTCCAGGCTTTTTATTTTATTTTTCTTATTTAAGGTTCACAATTGGACCATAACACCACCGTGGTACCTTTGAGGGAACATTTACCTTGTTTGTACCTTGATTAACAAAAAATGTACCTGCACAGAACCTTTATTTCTAAGAGTATACCTGTGCCACTGGCTGCCACACAACCTCAAAACATAATAGATCCACCACTGTTCTTAACAGTTGACGAGGTGTACTTTTCATCAAATGCTGCTGCTTTTTTCTCTCCAAACATGATGAATGCAGCCAAAGAATTACATTTTTTACTTCATCAGTCCACAGCTAAATGCCTCTGGCAAATATTATTATTTTGCATATCACAGACGTTGACTTTCGGTAAGGAATCAGTATTGCATTTCATTCAGCATTCAACAACACTGTAAAAACAATTGCAGAGCTATTCAAATCCAGCTTTAATCCAGTTTCCAGTTCCGGACTTTGCAATCACTGGTAGGTAGCTGATCTGACTGAGCACTCAGTGTCACACCTACCAATTCCAGGACCTGAATTCAAAGGCTCAATCCCATTTCACCCCTTGCCCCTACCACATAGCCCTACTACTCCAATTTGCAGCTTCACGTCTAGGGGTTAGGGTGTCCTGATTTTAGTTAAGATAGAGGAGCAGGGTGAAGTGTTAGGGCTACATGGCCCTCCAAATGGAGGTTTTTCAGAAACACACTTCAAACAAAGTGTTATGAGGAAAAAAGGAAAAACATCAAGATGGCTGCACAATTGACCAAAGAAACCCACAAATGTGAATATTTTCTCCATTAAAAAGTTACGTTAACCACTGTATTATCTTAGTTTGATGTGGTTCAATGTATTGTGCTCCTTTTCTTCATAACAAGCATTAAAACATTGCTAGTAGTATGCTGATGTCTCTGTAGCTGTCTGGCTAAATTTCCCGCTACCTTAAATGACATCACAACTGCTGTACCATTTAAGGTGGAATGAAAATTCGAACAAGAAGCTGGTGAATATCTGAGTTCAGCTTCATATCACTGAAGAATTTGGGGTGGGCGATAAATAATTGTCATATCCCCCTCTTTGAAGGCATATGATGCCGTAAATGTAACTAAAGCCCAGCAGTGAGGTTGCTGAACTTCACTCTCCATTGCTATCACTGCAGAGTGGCAGGGTCGCCTACAGAGCACCGCTAGTAGCTGTTAATGAAGTAATGCTCTTTTTTATTTGAGGGTCCCATTTCATAGAGGAAGATTTCAACCACTACCCCTTGTAACTCAGTTCCGAGGGGCAATTTGACACTCGAAAATGAGGCAGGGGTAAAAGTAAGAAATGGGATTGGGCCCAAGTCTAGATTTGAAAACCTCTGCATGTTTCCAGAGACAAAATGAGGACACCACAGCACCGTAGATGACAACTTTTATTAGGATTGTCAGTTTTAGTTAATCTCATTCACTACATCTGTTTAGCACTAGTAACCACCCCATTGAACATTAGCAGAGTATATAAAGAGAATCATAAACAACATGTTATTAATATTTAAATATTCAAGGACATTGATAAACATTTTGCTCACATATTTAGAAAAATATAAAGTCCAAGCTTTGAAAAGACGAGAATTCACAAGGGAACATCTAGACTACGTAACGGGGCCGAAACTAAGATAGGATTACTCCTGTTCATGCCTCTGTTAGTGTTTAGTGTTTATCACCTGTAACTGTGTGTGTGTGTGTGTGTGTGTGTGTGTGTGTGTGAGAGATTACAGTGAAATCTGGCACAGGATGTTTCACAGAGACCCAGCAGGTGGGCACAGCCAGCTAATGGAAACATCTGTCAGGAGGAAACTCAGCCTGACATGGTGGCGGGAGGGGGGGATGGTTGGAGGGTTGAAAGGGTGGCAGGGAAGATGGGGATGGTAGGACAGTGAGAGATAAGGGGATGAGGAGAGAGAGGAAGAGAGAAGGAGAGAAAGGGACCCCCCCAGGTTAAAAGAATGGATAAGAATGGTAGGTGAGTGAGGGATGAAGGAATAGAAACAGAGATAGAGAGAGAGATTTGGGGGAGAGAGGGATGAAGGAATAGAGAGGGATAGAGAGAATGCTTTGATCAGAATTGAGAGGAGGAGAGAGATAGAGAGAGGGAGGGAGGAGAAGAAGGAACAGGAGAAAGAGCAAAAGGGAGAGAGACCTAGGTGCGCAGAGGGACACAGAGAGAGAGAGAGAGAGAGAGAGACAGACAGAGACAGAGAGAGAGAGAGAGAACAGTACGTTGCCATTTTGCAAGTTATGGATGGATTGCGGAGACGTGTTTAATAAACAAGCTGTCAGGAAGAGTTCACTATGGAGACGAACATCAGCTCCACACTCTCTCACACTCACACACACATACAGAGAGAGAGAGAGAGAGAGAGAGAGAGAGAGTCAGGAAACTCGAAAGCGACGGGTCATGTTATACATTAATGATGTGAACCAAATGGGCCACCGCAGACACTCAGCAGTCGAGCAAGCCTCCTGTCCCCCCCTGGTCTGTGTCTGTTTATTGCTTGGCTGGTGAGACTGACTCTGTCTGTTAGAGTTTTTGTATATATGTGCCTGTTTTCCTTCCATTTGTTTGCTCTGTTAATGCTGGATTCACTTTGATGTGGTCAGTTGTGTCTGTGTACGTGTATGTGGTGTCCCTGTGGTTGACGTTGAGGACGGGAGTTGTTGAGATGTGTTGTGGCGCCGCAGTATATCTGAAATCTTCCTCTACTTTAATTACCAGCATCTGGACTGGACAGTCGGGGGTGGGGGTGGGGGTGGGGGTGTTGTGGTCTGGAAAACGAGATCATTTCGGTATAATAGTCATAATTGCAGCAGACTGGTATAGGCATCCAGTCAAATCAGCCAATCAAGTGAGTCCTCTGAGGCTCAACTGCCAGACTTACATATTGAAGTGAATGTTTTTATTTGTCTATCGTATCAATAACAATATTATTTTCTGTCTATCATATCAATTACAGTACGCTGTGATACCAAATCAGATTGTTACTAAATATGAAGGTCGGCTATGCTTCCGAGTGGATCCAGCTCAGTTTAAGTAAGAGTAAATATAAACCAGAACAAAACATTGGCGATAATGGTAAAATCTTGTTCATTTGAGGTTGCAGTGGCAAACGTATCAAAATACTCAATGGATTTTATGTAACTTAAGGATTTTGTCATTATATTGGCAGGTTTAGATGCCTATGAGTTTGTGATAGTTTGCAATGGACTGTTTTTCCATAAAGACTCAACCAAAAACACGTTATTGGTGTTTGTTTAAGGGCATTCGTCCACTGCACAGTGTGCCAGAAACATAAAAGTAGTCCAGTTTTATGATTTTGGGTGCCCAGATTGGGGACCTAACAGGAAATAATGCTAATTGAGTGTGTTGTGCTCTGTCTTTGGCAATGCTTGAAACTGAAGCCAACAACACCTTAGCTTCCTGGTGAAGATAAAGTCACTAAGCACTATTACATCACCAATAAGTGCACCAGAATGTAAACTAGAAAGTCATGTTGATATGTTGAGTTCTATTCTGAGAATATACTTGGTACAGACTTCGCTATAAAGTGAGACCAGCTAGTTAGGAAGCTAACGCTACTAGCGTAAATGCTAGTGTAATAATGCTAGCCTCCACAGAAGGAGTGTTTTTGCTATTGTCTTCACACTTGACAGAGAGCCTGCATGTGATTCTGGGTAATTGTAGACATTTGTGTAAGCTTACTAATAGATAGACAACATTTCAGTTCACACAAAAAATGAAGGTTTGATTTACTTTACAAGAGTCTGTGTTGAAATGTTATATGCTCACAGAACAGTTCAGTATATCAGTATGTTGTTTCATGTCAGTACAACCTAGTGTTGCCAATATGTTAAGCTCTTTAGCAAAACACTTTAGACTTGTGCTACAGTGGCACTAAATGACCAAAAAGACAATTTAATCATTCATCGCTGTTATTATAAGGGTTCCAGCTGTTTCTCAAGCAGGTGTAAAATGAACTAAAAGTAAAACTTTACGTTCTGTTGGTTCCCAGTTCTTGTTTTTAAATGTGCAGTGGAAAAATGTCCTGTGTAATACCTGTGGGAACTCTGAAATCTCACATTTTTATGTTTAATTGCAGGAAAACCAGGGTACAAAAAGTGAAAAACAAACAAAAACAGTGAATTAATAGTTTCCAGAAGATTACTCCATCCTTCTTATTCATCCAAACCATCCATCCATCCATCTCCTGCCCCTCTCCATTTCATTCAGTCCCTCGGCTAGTCAATCGAGTGTTAAAACCAGTCTGTGAGTGTATATGTGTTTAGTGTATGTATGTATATGTGTGTTGAGAGATGGTCTCAGACGGCTGAGCTGGAGAGCTTCACCCAGCCCACCTCTTGGTAGGCCCCAGTGATGTGCCAGTAGAGCACCGCCATCAGTTTGGTCCAGGCCGTCTGCACCTCGGGGGTGAAGCACTCGCCAAAATCGTCAGCCAGCACCTCCAAAATCACCCCACTCAGGATCTGGGGAGAACATTTTAAGCATTTACAGCAAACCTGCACATGCAGTTTGCCCACCTCAAAGCAATAGTTTGGAGAAAATAAAATATATAGTTTTTTTTTAATCCTAGTCTAGTTAATTGGACATTTTTGGTGCCTAAAGTTTGCTTTCTTTAATGTTGCACTGGAGCTATGAGGCTTAAAATAGTAGAATATACCCTACCAATTAGCACTGTACCACATACATACATAAATCATCACAAACTTGCCTCAAACCATATCAAGTTGTTAAAGGGGTCAAAAACTTACTTGCATTGAATACATCACTTGGTATGTTGCGTGTAATTTTCTGTAGTGCTCATCAGTTTGACAGAACTCACCATTTTTTCCCATTTTTGTCCATCAGTATTCTCTCACTACAATACCCAGCATGCATTACATAAATACAAATACTGCTGCCCACTGATCTAGATCCTAAAAAATACATCGGTGCTGCTAGCACTAATGTCAACCGGTCATCAAACTGTCTCCTTTGTTGAAGGAATAATTCAGCTGAAAAATTAGCCAGCTAGCAAAACCAATTTTAAGCAGCTGTGTCCAACTATCTACCTGAAAGCACTTGTAGTTTTTCAAAATTTACTTCCACCTTCAAGATACATCATCGGAAAGGGAGTTTTCCTATTTGTTTAACCAGGAAATCTCACACTTTAGAGACTACTGTGGAACTGCCGTAAGAGGCAAAATGGTATATTTACAACAAATTAAATAGTCTATAATAGGCTTCATTATGTGGTTTCTGACACTGTATGACACACTCTAATCTATAAAAATGGTCAAAAGTGCATACAAAATTAAAGCTTCAAGCTAGCTACTACTGTTTTTAGCTACACCACATACTTTTGTCCATTTTTACATATATTCTAATTGGTGGGGTATAAGCTTCCTTTACTGATTGGCTACATCTGAGGTAAAGAGGATAGTTCACTGAACTACCACTTTAAGCTGCCATCTTTTACCTTGAAGTACATAGGCTCCACTTTGTGCTTGAGTGCATGGGCCTTGCCAACCAGTGCCAGCACAGATGACACCTTCTCTGGATCATGGAGGTTCTCCACCACCGAGTTGATGGCATTCATGACTCGGCAGGCATGCTTCCTTAGCTGGGTGCTTCTCTCCATTTCCTCAGGGTCCTCCATGTCCTGGAACTGACTGAAGTACTGCTTCGCTGAGGGGAAGTTTACAAAGAACCTGGAGAATACAAGAGAAGAAACGATTAAAAATTGGCCGCAACTGTTTTTTACTAGCTTTGTAGAAATGAGGGAGAGTCAAGACTTTGTTGCCAAAGTAGTAGTACAGTCCTGAATGTGTCTATTCATGGGCCTGTTCAGCCTGGATTAGTTTAATCTGCAGAGTGATTACAACCAGATCTGCATTTGCAGTATGAATCTGCAGTGTGTGAAGTTTTCACAGTCTGACAGTAATAACTATGGAGTGATTTTAATCCAGTATGAATCTGCAGTGTGTAGTTTTTACAGTCTGACAGTAATAACTGTGGAGTGATTTTAATCCAGTATGAATCTCCCAGTCTGACAGCAATAATTGTGGAATGGTTTTAATCCAGTATCAATCTACAGTGTATGTAGTTCTTACAGTCTGACAGTAATAATTGCGGAGTGATTTTAATCCAGTATGAATCTGCAGTGTGTGTAGTTTTTACAGTCTGACAGTAATAATTATGGAGTGATTTTAATCCAGTATGAATCTGCAGTGTGTGTAGTTTTACAGTTTGACAATAATAATTATGGAGTGATTTTAATCCAGTATGAATCTGCAGTGTGAGAGTAATTGTTGTGGTGCTTTTAACCCAGTATAAATCTACAGTGTGTTGTTTTCACTGACTGACAGTAATAAATATAGAGTGAAGGATCTTCTGTAATTGACTGAGTTCCCACAGTAATAGCCGTTCTGTTCCAGTCCCCCTCACGCTAATGGAATAACAAAACCTGCTAATAGGCCTGGCCATGTGCCATGTTGTTATTGTTAGTGAGTGTACTGTGGCACAAAGCTGATGTGAACATCTTGGCTACAACCTTTCAGTCTGGGCTGTCTGTGGCTCAATACTTTATTCCGAAATAATCAGTCAATCAAATCCCACATAACCTTTCCAGCTCCTGCTACAATAAACAATATGGAAAAACAACCTGTGCATGACAAAACGAGAAGTGCAAAACCAGAATACATTATTATTACGAGCTGTAAAAATGACTGAAGATAGACTGTAAACTAATACTAACTGCTGCTGTCTGAGTTGAAAATTGCAGTCAGGTCCACCAGGGATATGCTGTCCAAAAAAATATGTATCTATTTTTATTTTTCTGCATTATTTTGGACAGCAGCTGCCCTTTATATTGTGTTAAAATTTCATGATGAATGGACCAACAGAAATATTTCTTGATTTCTTGGGATATAACCTCTTTACATTAACTTACATTAAAAGTTAAAAACATTTCTGCCTTCTTCTGTAAAGTTACTGTTTTTTAGATATATGTTTTTTATTGGACAGTGATGATATGCAGCGCAGCGTAATTGGGATTGAAGAAAGAAGGCAGCAGAAAGGAAGACCACTCAGGGAGAAAAAGTATGTGCATGTATTAGAGGGAGAGCGAAAGAGATGGAGAGCGATATAAGGAGAGTAAGAAAGAGAGAAGGAGGGATAAAGAGAGGGAGAGTGCGAGGGAATTTGACTGCAGTACAGCTTCGAGCTGGATGATTGCACTGCAATGCTGAAGTGGTTCGGATACTCCGACGAGAGGGATGTCATTAAGTCACAGCAGGGAAAATGAGAGGCAGGTGCAGAGAGACAGAGAGACAGAAAGAGAGAGAGAGAGAGAGAGAGAGAGACTGCCAATATTTCACTCAGTGTGTCTCTGCCTGCCAGAATGCCTCGGTGTTGATTATGAACATCCCATAATAAACAAGCAGAGCGGGAACTGGACTAATACAGCACAAATTGTGTAACCCTGTTTCTACTTGAGATTCAGCACCACACATTCTGCTTGAAGCTCTCTGTGCTCGCCGTCGCTCCTGTAAGAAATAATTGAACAATGTAGACGCATTCACTTTCTTCAGCACGCTGACTGTGGCCGACGTCGAGAAGCTAATTAATACACTTTTATCAAATGGAAACACCAGGCAGGAAGCACACATCCACGTCAGCCGGCTATTAGGCTACGTTACATTAACAACGGCTTTTGAAGATTGATTTTCTCCGTATTACTAACTTACAGGATTGAATGCTTCAGTGGTTTACGTGAAAGACTCTTTGACAAAAGAAATCCAGGAGGAATGTATATGTTTATACAAATCGTGCCAATAGTAAAGCCTTTCAAACCGTCCACCGCAAATGGAGTTTACGGGAACCCTGGACTGACCTTCCTTGTGAATGAGTGTTTATGTAGGAAGCTATTTTAAGGACGATCTAAACCTGCCCCCTCTTTAGGAATCTTAATAGATAAGACTGTCACGGCCTACAGCCAGGACTCAGATGTATTTCTTCGCCTCAATTCCCTTAAAGTCATCTACGCTGCACCAGGATCAGAAGGGCCCATATCATGGAAAACCAATTTTTCCTCTGTCCAGTCCATACAGTCCAAATATGGAAATTTGGCTGCCTGTTTTGAATTTATTGTTTTTGTAATGCATAAAAAACCCAAGTAATGTACATATATATGCCTATTTGTCCTACATCAGTTCAGCCCTGCCTTTCACACTGAAGTTATAAGAAGTGTTCCAGCCTGGATTGGTTTTGAATGAGGGCAGTGATTCAGAACAGAGCTCATTTACATACTTACATACAGTTGGATTCAAAAGTTTGAACAGTCAATCAAAATTACATGTTGTGTTGATTTGATGTGGAGTGATTTTAATCCGGTATGAGTTTGTGGCGTGTCTAGTTTTACTTTTTTAATATGGCCCCTTTGACACCCTACTTTAAGCCAAAATTAGGCCAGTTTTCCATGAATCTCAATGATGTATTCTTAAACTCTTGACGAAACCCAAAAACCAGTTCTATTTAAAGGCTGAAGTGTGAAAAAGCATGACATTACCAATAAGGCATGACAGTTCCAGCTCCTCTCCTATTAGCCATTACTGTAATGGAGGAGGTTACAAGAAACACCAACTCTGTAAACAAAAAGAATGTCTACTTAAGTGCTCGCTGTTTTGTTGAGTAAAACAATATGCTGCTGAGGCATTCCTCATACGTTCGCTTGGCCTAATTTAACTTGCCTGAGTATTGTTTTACTTGATCCAGACAAAGCGGGAGGCGTTTTGCTCGTTTGTTAGCTTTACCCTCTGGCACTAGTGCCGAATTGCTCCCTTGATGCTGCGGCTGGCTCTGAAATGGAACGGCAGCTCTTGGCTGGCCATGCATAGTTTCTCCAGCTGTCTCTGTGCTCTCTCAGAAACACAGCGGAGAAGCCCAGTGGTTGTGTATTCAAGAATTGGCACAAAGAAGGCTTGCAGCTCAGCGAGATAAGCTTGAATGAGGCTAGCGAGTTTAGCAGCTTAGTGGTTGAAATTTCAATATGTTTACTTGCTCTGAAAACTGTGGGTCAAACAATTTTGTAATAGTCGGGGGTCCAAATGTTGCTTTTTTTAGTTTTGCGCTGGAGCTACAAAGCTAACAATGCTAACGCTAGATGTCAAGCCATCCTTTTCAACATTTTCTGTAAATACATCCCCAAAACTTCTCTCAACCAGCTCAAATTGCATTGAGGTCTTCATTAAGGTTGCGCAGACTTGTCTGAAGTTTTGGTGTAATCGGTCATGTATCAGTCATGTATAACAGATGTCATTTGTAACCAAGTGTAGCTAATCGAAAATTCTGGTTTTGAAATATTGAGCATTTTATTAAAGTACATTTCTGTTGTGGCTTAAAACAGCTTTCTCTGCTTTTATTTTCAAGTTTGAAAAGGGAATTATATTTCTGGGCAAGTTCTGCTGCTGAAAGACGACGCTTGTGTTCACTTTGCCCCTTGCCCCTCTAAGGGTTCATTTGACACCCTTCACTTGAGCTAATAAACGGGGAAATGATGAGGCCAAGTGGTCGAGGGCTTGTTAAAACCAGTGTTGAAACAGGCAGCTAGTGTGACTATGGCTTAAGTCATACTGTGTTCCAAACTACACTGACAAGTCTGTGCAATCTTAATGATTGATTAATTGACTGTTTGTGAGCAAAGTTAGCCTTCTGTTTAAAACTACAGGAGCAAAATTTGGACACCAAACATGCCTTGGCTGATCGACTACATCTGGGGTAGGCAGAAAACTGTGTAAATTAGATTTTTTGCTGAACAATGTTCCTGCAGCTATTACTTCTCTGAGGTTGCTAAAAATACTTATAAGTGTATTAGGTGAAGTGTGGGCTGAATCTGCCTCCCATTTTAAGTCAAATAAGTCACCATGACGAAACTCCTGAGCCAAAGTTAAGTGATGAACTTCATCCCTACTGGTGACGTACTGTTGGGTTAAAAATATGCTTGCGAAATTTTAGAAAACTTGATGGTCCTTTCAGTTAAGGTCTTATTACTCAAGCTATCATATTACAGAATATGTGCTAGGAATGGAAGAGTTTACCCTTGCGGCTATGAATGCTTCACCTCCTGAATCTAAATTACTTCATACTGCAGAGTCAATGAGGCTTTTTAATCAGTCCCTAGTTAGTCATGAGGACAAGACTTCAGGATATTTTTGTTAAGGGTTTTTCAGTGTCCAAGCGCACCCCTTGACCTTATAACAGAGCTTCATTGGAAAACTGGGCAATGGAATATCCTCAGAAGAGGTTTTTGGGAACATTTCACAATCACTGAAGGCTTGAGATGGAGTTTTGTACAGAACAGAAGACATCAAGAAGATCTACAAAGACACGTAAACATGCTTAGCTATTCTACATTTTCATGCAGGCCTACTCAACTACATCAAACAGAAGAGGATAAATAGCCTGTGGCAGCTCACAGATATCAAAACCTTAACTGATAAGCTAAATAAAATGAGATGTTGTTGCTGTCAATGCCCCAAGTCTGTGAAGGTCAGGGTTTTTGACCTTTAGAAAAGTGCCATATGGGTTGGCGGACGCCTTTGGTGGTCTAATTGCATTTGTACGGCTTGATGATATTGTCGGAGGCAACTGTCAGTCCAGTCACTTGGATAACACACCATGTATTCTTACATCTACATCTTTACGGTTGCAA